GGGGGGGGTTCTGGATAATTGGGACTGTTGATATGTGTCTTGGCAATTCGACAGTCTAAAACGCAACATGAATTCTCTGACAATGCGAAAAATGTAAAGGCCCATTGAGTATAAAATATCTAAGCATGGTATATTTCCCCTGTTAAGAACTTTTTGATCTTCACAAGAGCACTTCATTAGAGTGTCACTATTTTGCAAGCACAATGTTGGCGTGAAAATGATTTTCAGTACACTCTAAATCATTTTTCTCGCAAAAGATTCATTTTGCATCAATTCGCGAGGTGCACCATTCACGAATTTAGTTCTTCCGCGAATATCGATTTCATATATAAATACTTTGTAATTAAAAAAGCATCCTTTCATTCACCATGTAAGCAATTTGAAAATAATAAATAAGAGAGTTATATCGAATATTTCCTGCATACCATCGTACTCTGCACCTTTGCGTTACCACATTATTTAACGTCGAATGTTGTATTGATTTAAAAGCTGTACAAATTTGACGAAAGGGGTGGGAAATGTAAAATTAAAGTACAGATCAAATTTGCAAACATAGTGATTTACTTTGGCAGGGTGCACTAGGCAAATTCAATGATAGTTTTTATAGAACATTAATATCGCTTTAATCGAATCCTTTATAATGATTTAGTGTTTTTAAGTTGTTTTCTCTCCTTCTTACAGAACTGGAAAATGGACGTGCAGAACCAGGTGGCTAATATTGCTACAAATTTGGTGAGTAATTAGTTGTTAAGATATTGAAAAAAGGATTGAATTCAGAGAGGATAATTAGTAGCCTCCCATCACATATAACAAATTAATACGACCCCCCTAGACTTAACTTGGAAATCGGACATTAATTAACTCACGGGAAAACACTGACATACGATCAGACGACTTCAAGAAGGTCGTATATGAGGCGCCTGGAATGCAGACTGATGTGTTTTGTTTACCGACCTCACCTGTACGTATCACGTGCTAACAGTAGTTCACAAGCTCTTGGTCGCTACGACTTTTGTTGTCGAGCGAGTTACGCTCTGTCAGATAAATCGGTTCACAAATGCAATTACAATAACTCTGTGAAAATAGTGGTTTGTAAAATATCAAGATCCCTATAAAATGCAAGTGCATGTGCGTGCACGTAATAACGGCATACCATGCGATAGCCTATGGTTACATATGTACCTGACATGTTAATATACCATGCGTAAGCAGGCTATGGAATGATGTCCAAAGTGTACATGATTGAGAGTAATTTTGTTCCATAAAAGAACAGTAAATTGACAAATAAATATAGTAATTTAATTTATTTCCGTCGTTTTTGGTATATTAAATAAAATAAGTGTCATTGTATAAATTCTATCCCTCTGCAAAAAGTTCCGATTTTTTTCAAGGTAGACAACTCTCATCAGGATCAAAATAATTGTAAAATGTAAAATAAATTAATTATAAAGACTTTGTGTGTATTTGGTTCAATTTTTCACTCTTTTTGTATGTAACTATGTGTCCTGTTTGATTTTGGCTTGTATTTAGTAACTTTTATCCATATAGTTTCAATAAAAAACGCTTTTTGTAACATGTTGTAGATATTTTATGATAAATAAAATATTTGTAGGGTTGATTAGCAATGTTTCTTTTCATTATTTTATTGTTGTAATAGTTTTGAACAATGCCACACGCTCAAAAAATGTGAAAGTGTTGAATTTGACAAAAATTCAATTTTTCGGTATTTTTTACAAATAAATCCCCAGTTTATCGGAATGCTTAGATTTTCATAAAATCATCTCTACATAGTCACATAACCATCATGTGAAACTTTCATTGAATTCTGATGGCTAATTGCGAAAGGGTGGAGCCTCCTTAAAACCTGTCAAGCCCAAAGTCAGAATATTCTGCTGAACTAACCCTTTTTTAATCTTATATGATAAAACAGAGTGGCTACACTTTAGTATTTGTTACTCTATACTGCAGTACCCCATCCTCGAAATTCCAGGGGTTACGATCCCTCGTTCTTTGCACATATTCCAGGGGTTACGATCTCTGACGTTCTTTGCACATATTCCAGGGGTGCAGAGAAAGTAGGAGACAGTAGCCCCTGAAAATTTCGAGGATAGTAGAACCTTTGATCGCCTCCGATTTATTTTTGAGGTTCATTTTCTCCTTTAGTAGCTCCTTTGTCTCGAGTATCGACATTGCGTTAAGATGTTGTACTTATTTCTGGAAATCATTTTCACGTACTTCGATTCCCCTGACTTTTCTATATTTGTATAAGTGTTCGTGGTGTTAGTTAAATGTATAGAAAAAAATGGAGCTTCTTAGTATCGGTTTGTTTTTGTTTGACAAATATTTACCAACAATTTCAAGAACTATACTGAGACGATGAATTCGGCAGGGAACTGCTCAATAATGTTGGTGTTGACATGCGAATACGACTGTGATATGAATACTTGTTTAACTCAGTTAACTTCAAAAAAGGTCTATTAATAATGAAGTATACGTCTAAACAGGGAAAAAGAATTGTCCGGCATACTTTACACAAGTACAATGTAAGGTTTTATACCAAAAGGTCGTACCTATAATTTGATCGGAATGCTCAAAACCAGCTGACTCGTATCATGAGTAACCTTATTATCACTTGATGCTAATCTTGTAGACTTGTCCTGAGAGACCTGTCTGTGTTAGCGAGCCGTTCAGCCCAGATTCAAAAATAGGTGTTGAGCTGCAGTACAGTCAATCCTTCTGAATCTATGTTTTGAAATTGTGAACGATTGTTCCAATTCTTATCTCAATTTACGCGAAACATAATCCGTGGAAACGTTACGTAACACTAAGAACAACTATCTATATCTAAAACAGGTTCAAATAACGCATTCACCCCTGAAGATACATTTGAATTCTCCCAATTCAAAGGTTGGAATAGTTCATTACTAAATTTCAGGGGTGAATTAGTTTAGCTCTTCCAAAAGATCCCTTTCTGTACACATCATTATATCAGTCGATGAAGTCGTAGAAGGGCACATTTTGAAGTAGGATTTTTATAGAATTGCTTGCTTTTTTCTGTGATGACTTAGCCATGTGAATATTATGAAAAGGAAATTGGAAAAGTATTTCGTTTGACATTTCGTTCACAGACTCATAAAACGTGTTGGAAATATACTAAAAACATCTAGGCGGCTTATCACATCACTGGTTATCTCCCCTTACTAGATACCGCCGTAATTATAACATTGACTATCGAATCATTTTCCAGCATGTCCTCAAATGAAATCGACCTTGACAGACATATGTCTCTTTCATAGAGAACTAATAATTGGGGCATGCCTTCTTTCTCCAGAAGTCTCATGATTGAAATTGATTGTATCCTTTCAGGAGAGATCACTTAAGGAGTACCCTAACCCGGACGCAGGAAAGAAGTTTGATTACACAGATGAAATTGAAAAAGCGGAGATGGAAAAAGAAAGGAGGATTTATGCCAGATTCACGGGAGACACTTTGAATTACGGATTGCAAAGACTGCCGTCACGGGCGATTCCAGATAAATATTGACTGACATTATCACCACCGTAGCTCGCTACTTTACGGGAAATAGCAATTACCAGAACAAATAAATAACAACAGTGAAGGACATCAACAGATGGTTTATATATTAGGTAACTCTGCTAGTCGTCAATTCAACAATATCTGTAACGTGAGCTGTGTGTCGGACTGAACAGCCAATTGATAGGTTATGATGATGGTTAAAATAAGATATAGGTCGCTAGCAGTGTGTTAGTCTGTACGGTCAGTTTAACCTGAGTGATCCTAGAAAAAAGGGTGATCATATGGCTACTATATGTCGACTTGAGCAAGTTTATGATTTTTTTATTATTAAAGGCAGACACGCGACCTTATAAAATGTTACATTTATATTTGTTTTGTGTTGAGTTAAGTCGCATTATAGATGCTGTCAAATCAACATCTTATACACAGGCTTCCCATACTATAAGTAGGGAAATGTTTGCGAAGTTAAATATTCGCTAGTTTTGCCTATAACTATTTAGCGCGTATATATGCACTCGCAAACATAATGACACATCATGGAATATAAACACCAGCAACATGGTCAATGCGAATATTTTCACATGGCGAGTATTTTGAAAAGTTCAAATGCTGATATTTCCTCATGCAAAAATATCTGGGGTTGTTTTTCAATTTGTTGCAAGATTTTTATTTTTGCGTTAATTTGCAGTAATATTAGATCACGTGTTCAAATGTCTCGCAAAATTTTCAGACACCAAAAAAGTCCACCGTAATATGTGTCTCTGCTATAAATATACTTTTTGCGTGATTAAGTCGTTTGACAAAAAAAGTTACGTTAATGAATATATAACTCTATTATTCAGTGAGCCAATGTTATAATATAACAATTACTATCTTTTGTTTCTCTATCCCTTCGTTTACTCAATATCGACATATATTAATTGTGGCGCATCGGTCATCACATGTGTCAGCCGAGAATGGGCGTGGTTTGTTTACTCTACAGAATTATTTATGACCTCATTCATGTCCATGTGTTTAGCATTTTATATGTAGAAATAGAATGTGGAATATATAGGCATATTGTTTTAAGTTATAGTTCAATAGTGGTCAAACAGAGGTGGATATATTTGATAACATTGGTGTCAATCTGTTCAGTTGGCTAGGCCAGACAGAATTCTGATGGGCGTTTTCAATCTGTTCAGTGAACAAGGCAAGATAGACTTCTGATGGGCGTTGTCAATCTGTTCAATGAGCATTACAAATGTGTTTGAGGCAAGTTGCCATTTCCTTCGACGCCCAATTTGCTCACTGGGCGTTGTCAGAATGTTGCTTAGTATAGTTATACCTCTCCTTGGTCGTTGTCAGTATAATGATGGGTGTAGCTATACCGCTCGGTGTGCGTTGTCAGTATAATGATGGGTGTAGCTGTACCGCTCGGTGTGCGTTGTCAGTATAATGATGGGTGTAGCTATACCGCTCGATGTGCGTTGTCAGTATGTTGGTGGGCGTAGCTTTACCTCCGATTGGGCGTTGTCAGTATGTTGGTGGGCGTATCTATATGGCTCGTTGGGCGTCGTCAGTATGTTGGTGGGCGTATCTATACCGCTCGGGGTGCATTGTCAGTATAATAGTGGGCGTATCTATACCGCTCGGTGGGCGTTGTCAGTATGTTGGTGGGCGTAGCTGTTCCATAAGTAACTATACAGTTGGTTACTTTTATATACATTTGTCAATGTAATGTTTATTTACGAGTAAGTATTCGTTTACAACATATACATATCTTGTTTTAAATATTTATTCCATGTTTTGAAGTTACATGTTATTCAGCGTATTTATTCTTTTTTGTTGTTGCTAAACAATAAACATATATTTTTGTTGTGAATGATTTTTGTTTTGTGAGTTGTGATTATAATCTGTTATTGACATGATTTTGCCTCTTTGATATCACCCTCTGATATCATCAATGGCGCATCTCGGTAAATTACTGCTACTATTTACTTCAATTTTGCGCTATGTGTCCTTTAAGATCACCAACTTGGAGGATAAATAACTAATTTAAATGATTTGTGAACAGGTTGTCAGACTCATTTTAACTTCTAATGTTATTATTCTTTTCCGCTAAGCCACTTGAAGCACTATCGCCAATATAAGTTATCGCGAAAATTCTGTGTTTTTTTCGTATTTTAATGTTATATCGTATAACTCATAAGACGTATTTCGAACCACAAATAATTGACCTTGAATAACCGCCAAAATATATCGTTTGGAAGGTTTTTGATCACAGGACAGATTAAAAATTAGGGTAAGACATATTTTGATACATATCTATCTATAGATTAATTATCATTGGATGTGCGTGTCACAGTGAACTCGACAAATGACGTGTTTGTATAATACAAACTGTTTCAGAAAGCAAAGTAAGGTTGTGTGATGTCATGATTGGCTCGGCAAGCCTTGTTTCCCGATGTGTTGGTGAAATAAAAATAGGGTTAATAAAAACCCTGTTTCAACTGTAAAAGCTGTAAGCATTGTTCTTCGTTTATAATTGTCTTTTAACAACGAGCTATCGATATTACAGAGATTGTGTATCAGCCGTATAACGTATCATCAGCTGACAACATCTATACACAACCGTCTATACAAGAAAGCGGCAAAATAAAGGAGGATAGAGGAGGCATTAGACATACGAGTGGTGATAGTAAGGGGGAGTTGGTGGCGGGCCTAAGAACGGCAAAATAAAGGAGGAGGAGGAGGAGGAGGAGGAGGAGGAGGAGGAGGAGGAATAGAAGGAGGGAGAAGGTGGTAGGCCTAAGAACGGCGATAGTAAGGGGGAGGTGGTGGCGGGCCTAATAACAGCGATAGTAAGGGGGAG